GTCCGAAATTTGAAACAATTAAAGAATGAAACGTTTGCTCGATTATCTGAACCATGGAAAATTGGCTCATATATGTAATGAAGAACAAATTTCTTTGTACGAAAATGAAGAAAGGAAAAGAACGTTTTCCTTTGGCTTGGTGTTCTGACAAGCATCTTATTTTTCATGTGTGCATGACCCTTTTCGCTTAGTTTTGTATGAAATTTTCAAAAGAAATCAAACGATGCTTTTTGGTTATCTGCAAACTATCTTTCTACTGATTTATAATATAATCTCTATGGATGACAGAATTTGTTTTGCAATTCTCTCCTCGCACACCATGTTGCGTTACGTATATACCGATAAATGACTTTTTTTAGCTGTATCTTTGCATAAGAACTTTTCTGATAACTGTCTATCTAAGTTGAAGCTAAAAGAACACAAGAATTCATATGTAGAAATAGAAGAGAAGTGATTTTTTTGAGACAACCTGTACGTATAAACATGGATTGAATGTTTACTTTTAAACGATAAAGGTTGTTTTTGAGATGCGTGTGAGTAAGCTAGCATGTGATGTCTGTTACGTACACACTAAAAATAAAAAAAACGTAACAGAACAACACACTCGATACTCGTCTACGAATGTCGAAACTCAATCTATTTTTGTAAGTTGGCAAATTTTTTTTTCCAACTCGCATTGTAACGCATTGCAAGATATTTGTTGAAGTGACTCTCTTTACAAGGCTTCAAGGTATCATAACGTGTCAAATGTAATCAAAACAGAAGGACCTCGACAATATCCAGGCTTACTAAAGTTATAATCAATCACATAAACGAGGTAAAGATTGTGTGTCTTTTCGCCGAAAATGAAGTTAGTCGAAACTTACATCGAAATACATATACACGAAAAGATAAGTCATCGAATCATTTCAGTCATTTATAAAAAAATTTTTTACAATGCACAAAATGCTATACTATATCAATCTATGTTCTTTTCTTCGAATATCATTATCTACCGTAGGGTTTATGTATACTGATAGACAAAAAGCTAGTATAGGGTCTTTGATGATACATATAAGAGCAAAAAGCGAAATCATGTCATCGAAATGCGTTTCGCTGAAAGTTAGATACTTGATTCAAAACATGTGAAAATCATATTGCCACATGATCGATAGGTACATCGGCGAAATTCTTTTCGGTGAAGTGCATATTGATCATTTATTGTGATTTTTCGATTGCTCTTATATTATCTACATTCATGACTCAAAGAAAAATATGTTGGAAACTCTTTTTTTCCAGCAAACACGTAATTGAGTTTAGATTAAAGAACAAGAACGATCGTATTTCTTCATGCTATGCAAATATTACATAGGAGTTTGTAACTCAAGACGGGTGTAAATAGGGACGACACTTTAACTTTATTTCATTTTCGAAAAAATAAAGTAAAGTAAAGTATTTCTCTTTACTTTGGAAGAAATAGTAAGTTAGATCTTTTCAGGTGAATGTTATTGATCTGACCGCGGATTGAAATTATCGGCGATGAGAAGTTAATGATGAGCATATTCATTTCAATATTAACAAAGAGGGAATATTGGACGAGCAGCAATAGAAACAAGTATGTTTATCGGCGACTTGCGTTCTTTATTGACGTAAAGCTTTAGCCAATGAAAAAATCTCTTGTGTTATTTGTCGAGCAATAAACTGATTTTATTCGTACGTGATTCATTTCCGATTTTAGAGTCAGTTTATTTGTCGATCCTACGACAAAAATGCATCTTAACTTTAATGATAAATATGATCGATAACGAATAATTAAAAATATTTTCAAGCGTATTTATCAAGTTATTTTGCCGTGGAAATGTTACCTGCAATACAAAAGCCATGTGGCTCTTAAAAAAAAAACAAAATACAGAAAAGGGAAGTTTTATGCATCGCCTATACGTTTTTTTGCACTATCATGATTAAGAAAGTACATCACTAAATACATCTGGCATTACGCATACATAGCGTCTACTAAATTTAGTTGGAAGTTTCCTCCATATATTCATTCTTCCTTGGTAAACTTCTACCGCCGACTACTCTAAATTTGTCTATGAGTCAGTGTAGTTTTGTTGATCATAAGGTTTTTTATGAGTATACAAAGCGATGATCGTTTACTGCTTTTACACATGAGAGAAAATCTATTGTATTTTGTGAATATTCTGAGTATGTGATTTTATAGTAATGTGTGATACAGTTATCTTATTTACCGGCTCTTTGACATCATATAGTAAGGTAGAACGACGAAATAAGCTTTTCGTTTACCTTGAAATCGTTTTCTGATCTTACAAGCTTCTTCATCATGTTGAAAAGATGAAAATAGAAAGAAGAAAATAGATTTTTCAGTAGGAAAAATAATCGTAAGAGTGGGGAAAGGTGAGCATTTGATAAGAATATTTTTAAACTTTTGTAGACATAACAGTCTGAGTGCTGTTTTTTTTATGTCTTTTCGCCGAAATTCAGAAATAAAAGCGGAAAAATTGATAAGAAATAGGTAGTAGCTCCAGAACGATTATAACAACATAAAACTATGATATTCCCAATTCTTGATGATCATGAATAGATTACTTGCAAGATATAATGAACAAATATCTCGATAAATATACGTAGAAAAAGATAAACCAACGATTTAGTGGAAGGATTAAATGCACACTCGTACTAACCAATCAACTGTAAGTTTAAAATCCGCACTAGCTTGGTAAATATTTGAAACAAAAATAACAGTGTAGTTATATTGATGTGAAAGATTTACACGGTTTCTATGCAAATATAAATGCAGAATGTGTATAGGTTTCGCCGAGTTTAGAGAAATTAACGATGTATTTTTGTGTCTGTGGATCTCTATTTTATGAATTTAGTTTGAATTGCTAGAAAGAAAAGTCCCCGAATCATTATCTGCATAAAGTAGATTTAACAACATAATAAGTAAGATTTTACCAGCAAAATTTAATGATATTGTCTGTGATTCAATTTTATTAAATGCATACTTAATAAGAGACTTTGGAGGGGTAAAGATATTGATTAAATAGATCACTAACACAAATATTTTATGTGACTCGTGAGGTATTAGAGAAAAACTGACGAGAAAGTTTCACAGATACTATAGCGAAATAAAGTAAAATGAATATCAACCAAGGGGGAAAAAGCGAAAAGTCGGTACTCCAGTATACTCCGCGTACTCCCTTGATGAATTGTAAGTATCATTGAGATTTTTCTCAGTGTTTTCAACTCCGCCAATGACCAGTATTACAATACACCAGTTGGAGTACAATGCAACTAAGACCACCGAAAAGGAAGGGCTAAATACTCCAGAATACTCCACTTTCGAAGTATCATGGAGTATTTGGGTCTTCCTGTTCGGTGATCGTAGTTGCATTGTACTCCAACTGGTGTGTTGTAATACTGGTCATTGGTGGAGTTGAAAACACTGAGAAAAATCTCAAGAATACTTACAATTCATCAAGGGAGTACGCGGAGTATACTGGAGTACCGACTTTTTCGCTTTTTCCCCTTGATATAAACTCAGTATGTTGGAAAAAAGACAAGAGAACTGATAATTTTTATAATGATAAAGTAGATAAGATTTATCTGGTGAAACCTTTATAGGAGCTTCATACAAAAAAATAGGTACGAAATGCTGATGGTTATTCGCTAAGACAAATTCTCTCAACAACTAATAACAGGAATATTGTTACCATTTAACAGTATCGATTATAGTGTATTACTAACCGTGTATGCAATGAATCGCGGACTTTGGTGTGCAGCAATGTGAACATTCAGCGAGTAATGTGTATATGTAAGATTGATTGTTGGCAAAATTCGTCTGTTATGCGTATGAGTTTATTATGGATAAATGTGCTCAAAATTGCGAATTACCGTATTGTCAAAATTTGGATTATTCTTGATAACCAAAAAATTTTTTTTGTAACCAAGTCAAATTGTCTCTCGTTTGGTAAGCAATGCTGATATGATCATTTCGAAAGTTGGATTTAGATAAGCGATAGGAGCTTTAGCGACTACCAATGACTGAACCACAATACAGTACGAAATTCATCTTCCATATTTAAATTCTACCTCCGAGAGGATCCTCGCAGGTATTGTTCTCAATAGCTGACAATAATTTATCAAAAAATTCGTCTGTTGAAGCCGTGTAGAAGCTGACATAGAACTTTTCAATGATATCGTTTTTACCTATCCCCCCCCCTCATATCGATCCAATTAATTCGCAACAGATATTCTAGGATTGTACTTTTGCTAACCCAGAGCATTTAACGCATCGCACCATCTGTCATTGATTTGCATCTCCTGATTCTCTCAATATATTCACAAACTAGTTCTATATAATGAATGTTCATCTAATAAAACTGCTTTTTTTCATGCAGTTTATATCTATGTGTACTTTTAGATCGCTCATATCTCGTTTCAGACAATATTTCTCGTTGAACAAAGACTTTCTCCTATAATCACCTCTGAACTTCATAATGGTAAAATTATTACTAGGAAAATTGTATGTGACAATAACCTTTGCTATTTCAGAATACCATATCTTTTGGAGGATATATTGTTAAAAATAAAGAACAATACGAACGTAAATATCTATGCCATATCTGTACCCATTTAATGAGAGACCCGATGCAGCTCAATTGTGGCCATAGAATGTGCCAAAACTGTCTCAAATTAGACACTGAGTAAGGCAGTTATTTCTGGAATATTGTATATCGATTGTTTTGTTTTATTGCAGAAATCTCCCGTGTTCTCTATGTGAGGAAATCAGTAAGACTTCAGAGGTAATTTCCAAATTTTTACTTGCTGTTAAACACCAAACTTTCATAGATAAGACCTGATAGAGGATTTAGAAAAGACATGGACATATTACAAGTGGTATGTGGACTTTGCGATTGGACCGGACAACTACAATTCTATCAAGTAATTCCTGTTGTCTGTGTATGCATACAAATATTCCCTATGATTCGTTTAATTTAGATACATCTCGAACAATGTCACAAACAATACGCATGTTCGTTTTGTAGTAGTATATTTGATTCTCAACTGCTATTGAACGAACATGAAGAAAATGCGTGTCTGAAGAGGCCAGTATACTGTTGTCTAAAAGAATTCGGGTGTAAAGAACAGGTTTGTTTTCTATACACGACTAGATTTTATTTTAGTCGTTTTGAGTAGATGTTGCGCGGCGAATTAAAAATTCATTATCAAACCGAAGAGCATAATAGAAGTTTGACAGCATGTGTGCGTAGAATTCGAGAAATGCAATCGAGTGCAGATGTCGATATGAAAATGGAGACATCGAGTTCAGCGTTCGGAACATCGGCGAAAGCGTCTTCAACGACAGAGCTGAATGAAAATGACAATACAACGGAGGAAATTTTTAAAGTATTGGATCTTTTCTCTACTAATGCTCGAACTGTAAGAGAAGAACTTCAACGTTTGGCTCGAGAAGAAGTGCAAATGAGTCGAGCTGTTGAAGAGATAGAAAAAACCTACTTATCCATCAAAACACCGACGGAAGATTCAAAGAGCATGTTAAGCGCGATACAAACAAACTTGACCGTTCTTCGAGAAGATTTATTAATGTTAAACACCAGATTCGAAGAACAACAAGTAACTTCTAATGATGGTATACTCATCTGGAGAATTACTGAAGTTAGTACTAAATTCAGTAAGTATTCACAAATATGTTCGATTCTATCAATCTAGTATTCACTATTTCAGATGATGCTCGGTCCGAACGACAAACATCAATCTACTCACCGCCATTTCGATCATCACCATCGGGGTATCTTATGAGGGCTCGGCTATATCTTTTCGGCGATGGGAATGCACGACGTACACATATTTCTCTATTTTTTGTACTGTTACGTGGTCAACACGATTCTATCCTGTCATATCCGTTCAATCCTAAAGTGACATTTTGCCTCTACGATCAAACTCCAGCGAAAAGTCATATTGTGGAATCTTTTCGACCTGACCCAAAGTCGAACAGTTTTCAACGACCACGCTCGGATATGAACATCGCAAGTGGAATTCCCAGATTCGCTCCTCTAAAAGTAATCGAAGATCCTGACACTCCCTACGTAAAAAATGATACAATGTTCATTAAAGTGATTGTGGACTTCGAAAATATTCCGAAAGCAGTCGTACCATTCGCCGCAAAATTAAATCCGGGTTTACCTACACATATTCAGCATAGATTAATTCAACACGAAATCGAACAGAGAGCACAAGCGGCCAAACCAACCAACTCGACATCTACAGATAATAAAATGGAAACAAATAAAAGCTGAAATGTTGAAAAAAAAAGAGTTTTATTAGGTCAATATAATATCTTCATAAACGTTTTATACAATCCGATAGATCTTAGCGAACAACATCTGACAAAGAGTGGTTATATAATCGTTCCGAATTCGATATCAATGTTGCCTGAGATAATTGAGCAACTGTTGTCTTAAAGTCATTGTACGGATCGATTGATTTCGAATGTTAACACTGTACATCGTCGCTATTCGACGAGATTTCTGACTGATTTCGATTAAGTTCATAATCGATAAAGATAATAATAGCAAGGAATTCATCAAATGATAATATATCATTGTGATCTCGATCAAAAGCACGAAATAAGTGCATTGCACGATCTTGTAAATGCCCGGGATTTCCCCATGGAAGATGAGAATATAATTGAGTAAATTTATTCATATTCATTACGCCATCGTGTTCCGATGCTTCGATATATTTCGCATGAAATTGATCGATTTGATCTTGAGATAAACCAGTCGTTTGTTCCAGTCGATTAGGATTCCAAGTGTGCGCAGTAGGACGATTCGAATGATTACCCATTGATAGTGAAATGCAAAGAAACTTCCGTCGCTATAATTTCATACATAGAGTGTCATTAAGTGCAATGAGAAATTGTACTGATTACAATGTACATTCATCGGGAGAAGTCAGAAATATATATATATATATATGCATATTTTATCCTGTCAATAGAATGACGTCGATGTTTTTACCTGACATATGTGTATGTAAGAGAAAGAATGATCAATGATGTTTTGTTCCGACGAAAATATTTATTCTAGAAAAGTATTTTTCACATATCTCAAGATGATCTGTATAATAACAATAACAGTAATAATAATAAGTTTTCTTTCTAATACTATCGTATTTTTGTTATTGAAGAGCATTACGAATGTGTCATATGAGATATTACAACAATTATGTTTATTTATCATATGAAATAAGGATATTTTTTTCATACAATTTTATGAGAGAATACACTCGGTGATCTTATGCACTTTACGAAAAAACAAGACACTTGTTTAATATTGATAGCGTCGATTGTATGCATCTTGTTGACTGATGTATTCGATAAGTTCATCTTGAGTAACATAGCCACGATTGTTTCGATCAACTTGTTTCCAGCATTGATGTTCGGTACCTTGAGGTAAACCATAATAATCATTGATACGTCGGAAAACTTGATGGCCATATTGCGGAGAAATTCGACCATCACCGTTTTGACGTCCGTGTTGGTTATTTTGTTGAATAAGATAGTTAATTCGTTGACGGCGAGGTACATTGTGGTTCATCATAACTACAGCACTGAGGAATTCATCGAAAGACAGTGTGCCGGAATTATCGCGATCGAATGTACGATAAATACGAGGAATTTGTTGCTGCATGTATCGTGGATCTTGTTGTTGAGCACCGGGAAAACGACTGTAGAAGTTCATGAATTCTCTCTGATCCAGTTGACCATCGCGGCCAGCTGCCCTGATGAATTCTTGATGGAGTTGGTGAACTTGGTCGACAGGAATGCCAGTTTGTCGAGATAATTCATTTAAATCCCATTGCTGATAGGACTGACGACTTGAACGAGCACCCATTATCAAATTTAAATAGTTGTTATCAAGTATAGAGTATATGAAAGTCAAAGGATTTCGCGGCGTATTAAATACTGCGGACAAACCTCGCGTTGATTCAATCAAGCATAAACAACAAACTGTGTCATCATGATTCACATATGAATAACCATACCTGGAGAGTATCTTGTCGAATTTGTTTATTTTTCTATGGTTAATCATTGAAAGATAGTATCTCAGTTCAAATTCGTCAAATCTCTTTCTCACTACAATATGAATCACGCGTTGATCACAATCAAATGTCCAACATTTCTTTTACAATTCGTTTAGGATATTTGTTCAATGAAAAACAGCTTATTTCGAGGATTTCTATGCGTATTGTATCGTGTTATTCACCATTGCATCGTTGTTGAGGAGATTCTTTTTTGTTTGTGCTTGCACGTCCATTTCCGTCTGCTCTCATATTCATTCATCATTCATCTTTGTTTCCTCTCGATGACGCGAAAATGAGGNTATTCATGTATTTGCAGACGCCAAATGCGCGCACACATACAGAAAAAAAAGACTGAGAATGAAGAAGACGAACACACACACAATGAAGAAAAATACTGCTTGACGTTGAACACAATTCTTCTCGTTCTTTCCACTTTTTTTTAACTTCCACTCGGTGACTACATATATATATATATATATGTGTGTGTGTGAAAAAGAAGTCGAATTGAGCACTTCGGTAGCAAACAGAATAAAAAAGTTCGTCTCGTTCTCTTTTTTTTCCCTCTGTCTCTTTCCCTATCACACACATACACACTTTTTCTGACATTCATTTCAGAATGAAGAAAAAAAGGTAGCAGGAGACGACTGAACTTATTCTAACAAACTTTTTTTGTTCTTCGGTAAAGAAGACATTCTCACGAAAGCAAATACTTTCCTCCATATATAGTCAAATAGAACTTCTCTTTTTCTTTCTTTTAGCCAGATTTGACTTCAATGAGTGAACATTCAACAGCAACGAAAATGACTAATTCACATGCACCGACACCATTAGGCTCGGTCGCTAATACTCTCAGTACTCAACATCACCAAAAAGTTGAACCGATCGACTATACAGCCGATGAAAGTATGATCGCAGTAAGTGGAGAAAAAAAACAAGCGTTTCGTGCAATAGAAAACCTAATTTTGTCAATGTTCGAAATAGGATTTTATGGCTGTTTTACCTCAGCTTGATCCAAGTGATTCGTCTTCGACAGCAACATCCCCGACATTAAAATTAAAAGGACAAGCGAACGACTCGGCAAAGAAATTCGATGCATTCGCTGCTGTCGTTCAACAACAATTTTCAACTGTTCAATCATCTTCGTCATCTCCGCCAGCAGCAAGTCAACTTGACTATCAAAATAATAAACGTCGACGTAAAATTGAACGTCCTGCGCAAAAACGCATCCGCGGTTCGTATAAACTTGTTTCACCCGAACAAAAAGTTCGAATTCATGAGTATGCGGAAAAACATGGAGTTAAAGCTGCGTCAAAACTCTTTCAAGTCGCACCATCGACTATCGCCTCGTGGTTATATCAGAAGCCCAACGGAGAACGAACATCAGCTATACGAAACAAAGAAGCGCACTCACGAATTCTCGAATGGATTCAAACTCGACAGGAAAATGGCGAACGTGTAAATAATCGTGATTTCCATTCCTATGCGTTAGCGACAATGAGAGAATTGACCGGCAATCCAGATTTTGCCGCATCGCGTTCATGGTGTTCGAATTTCATCAAGAAATACAACATTCAGCTAGATAGGTAAATCTGAAACTAACCTTCTCGTTTCGTTAGGAAAACTTTCTTTCTCGTTTAGTGATAAACAGTCTGATTCAACTTCAGCACAATTTCGTTTTGATTCTCTCGATGAAAATGCTAGTGGTAAGTTGATGATACGTCCCTATACCATTGAAATTCGAATTCATATTCGAATCTTTTCATTAGAAAGTTCACAGTGTTACAACGCTGGTAACAGTCCAGCTGATGTTTTATCCGATGATGACGATATGAATGTTTCGCATCATCACGGAGACAATCCAGCTAGTCCGAATAGTGATCAAACCGGAAATCCAAGTAATTCACTATCGCCATCTCAGATAGCCAATGGTCTCGACGATGTTTCGACCACTACTCCTTTCGCCGTTAAACTCGAACAAGAGAATGAATTCAACTGTCAATCACCCTCATCACCATCTGTACAAACTTTACCAAATAAAATGAACGTAGCGACGACTCTATCATCGAAACGATTGACTGGTACATTGAATCGCCTATTACATTCAGTAATCAATCGTCCGAACGGCCATCATTACCATCAGAATGGTCTATCCTCATCACCATCTGCATCGTCGTCGACAACAACTCCAACGACGGGAGCTGATTCACATGGCAAAGAGTCGAAAGGTAGTTTAGAAATGAGCACACAATCAATTGAAAGTATGAAACAGAAGAACAAAGGAAAAAGCAAATTTCATGAAAATCATCTCTTCTTTTAGCCTTTGTGCAACATTTTGATAGTTCATTCAATACAATGACGTACTTTCAAGAAAAACTTCAACATTTACTCGTTTCAATAGCACGTAAGTATTCCTTTACATTGCTATTTCATGTTCTCGTCCTACTCTTTTCCAGAAGAACGGGATACTTATCGAACACTTTATCTCAAAGAACATGATCGTCGTATAGCAGCTGAATTACGGCTAAAAGAAGCGAACAATACTGTTGTCTAGTCAATGACCGCGCTCGAAAATTTTTCTCTTTATCTTTTCTTTTCTTTTTTTCGTGCCAGAATCAAAGCTGTGATCTTTATTATTCACCAAACGAATCCGACAAAAACCCAAGCCCAACTGGCAATAGTGAAAGAGAATTGATTGTGT